ATGGAGTGGGAAGTAAGCACTGAAATGGTGTTGGTCACAAGAAAGAGCACGTGTGTGCCTGAGCTGAGAGGCGAACTAGCTGCTCTTTCCATGGAATTGAAACAATGAGTGAGGAAAAAAACCAAAAAACCAAAACCCATACAGAATGAGTGCGAGTCAAACAACGGGTGTTCAGACTTTGGAATCTGGCAGATACATCCTCAAAAAAAAAAATGAAGTGACCCTGCCACTTCAAGGAAAACAACTGACAGATTGTTGCAAATAAAAAATGAACTTTCAAGCAAAAATCAGAATTGTGTAAAACTAACCTCTGACTCCAGCTGGACAGCTTCCCAAAATATACAGACTTCTGACAAGACAAAGACAATGCTAATGAATGTGATTTCTTAAAATTTTAGAGAGAGAGCATGAGATCGAGCACAAGTGGGGGAGAGGGACAGAGGAAAAATCCCAAGGATTCTCCTTCTCTCCCCCTCTCTCTGCCCCTCCCCTGTGTGCGCTCTCCCTCAAAATAAATAAATAAACTTAAAAAAAAAAGTTGGACATTCAACTGACTGAGCTCCCATGCACTTCTGATTTTTATATTATATAAGGAAGTTAATATTTGGATGATCTGCATAGCCCAGTGAACCAACATTTTCCAAATGACCACTATATAACGTCATAAAACCATTCATGTTTTAAGATCTATGACAAGTACAAGACAGACCCATGGGTTTTAATTTAGCAGAGAATGAAAAATTCATTATATTTTCAGATTCCTTATTGCAATTAACCTTTATGAAACTACCAATCATTTTTTTTTTTTTTTTTTTTTTTTTTGGTGTACCATCAAAGAACAATATTCTCAGTTATCTGAAAAGGCTAATAAATATTCCTCCCTTCCCCAAATATAGATCTGTGTGAGGCTGGATTTTCATGTACTTCAACCAAACGCTACCATACTAGAACACACTGAATGAAAGGGGCAGATAGAAGAATTCGGTGGTCTTCTATTTTTAAGAATGTAAAACACTGTTATCCTATGTTTTTGTTTGTTTTGAACAATAGTTATTTTTCACAAAAATATGTCACTTACATTAAAATGTAGTTAAGTTTATTGCTAAAATAAGCAGTAAGTTTTGTTTTATTTTTCATATGGCAAATATGAAACAATATAATCCACATAAACAAAAACTCCTTGAAATCCTCAATAATGTTTTAGAGTGTTGAGCACTAAGACCAGAAAGTGTGAAAACCACAGCTCTCAATCAAAGGTTGCAAACTGGTGGGACATGAGCCAACTCTAGCCCAAAGACCAGAGTTTTTTAAACATCTAAATCAGTTGCATACATTTAGAAACTGGGAAAACTCACAACTCACATAAAAATCCCTATCTCTGGCTTCTCCTGAAAAATCAGATATCTGGCAAGACAAGGCCCATATTCCCACACAGCACAAATTGGCTGGCACAGAGAAGCAGACTCCCCTTAACTCAGGCGGATGGTATCTGGTTCACTGCCAAGGGCCAAGCTCATTACCTACTTGCCTGCATGGGCTTCTGAGCACGTGACCTCTGATTAAACATCTCGACTCCCATACAGGAATGACCTTTTTGGTGAACAAGCCATGTGCACAGCACAGCATTTATTTATAATTCTCATTCCTTACTAAATTCCCTGAAGGCTTGGCAACTCCCACCACCAATTAGAAACTGGAGTAACTGCCAAAGTATTGCTTTCTTTGATCAGTGACACATTAAATATGGCTCCCATCCCAGTCTATTCTGTGAAAAATAAGTTAGTTCTCCATGTTGCCTCTGGGAGAAAACATGGCCACGCCCACTCAAAAATTAATAGTGGGGCCCAAAAGAATCTTAAACCTTATTCCCTTAGGGTGGTCAGCTAGCTCAGCCTCAAAATGATTTCAGGTGTTAAATCAGGCTGGCTTTCAACACTAGACAGATACATAATCCTCTTAAATCTCTAAGATGTTTCTGCTAAAAACTCTACTGCATCTGTGAAAGCTTTAGAGCTCTGTCCTAGGGAGCCTCAAGTCTGAGAGAGAAACTTTTTTAGTGACTCCCTGAGATATTTATGGATCAGTTTTGAACGGAGGACCAAAGCCAATGGCTTTAAATAGAATAATTTGTCAGAATGGGTTGATGAGCAACCCACAGCTATTAGGGTTTCTAGATGTACTTACTGGTATGCCGTGACCCTGAAAGCGTGACAACTCCTCTTCGGGAAGAGGGGTGGGGACAACAAAGTATGCTGGCAATCTAGAAGAAAGAGATGTCACCAGTTTTAGTACTAGAGTAATTCACTAAATATGAAAGCTCAACTTTAATGAACTGAGGAAGCGAAAGCAGAGTGGCAGGACATGAACCTTATTTTCCTGTTGAGAAGAGCAAATGCACATGAATTATCTCTGGCCAAGTCAGTTGGGACTCTGGGTTCAAATCCTAGCTCTGCCTCTGATTCTGTGTGACCCTAAGTAAGCTACCCCACCTCTCTGGGTCTGTTTCCTCATCCATGAAATGAGGGGACTGGAATATGTGATATCTAAAAATATATGAATTCCAAAATTGGGAGTGATCTTTCTCATCATATAGTGGCAATTAAGCATCCATGTTGTTTCAGTCAGACCAATACGAAAACCAGTAATTAAGATGACTGCTGCCTAGGGGCACCTGGGTGGCTTGGTCAGTCAAGCATCTGACTCTCGGTTTCAGCTCACATCATGATCTCATGGTCTGTGGGTTCAACCTGTGTTGGGCTCCGCACCGACAGCATGGAACCTGACTGGGGTTCTCTCTCTCTCTCCCTTTCTCTCTGCCCCTCCCCCTGTTTGTGGTCTCTCTCTGAAAATAAACGAACTTAAAAAAAAAAAGATGACTGCTGCCGAGACATTTTATCAAGCACTCTGACAACAACAAACAAATAAGTGTTTACTGTATGCCAGACTCTAATTAGGTAACACAAATTATTCATTTAATCCTCCTGACAACTCTTATGAGGTATGTACTACTATTATTCCATTTCACAGATAAAGAAATTGAGACAGCGCCACTAAGGTCCTTCACAGGTTATACAACTAGTAAGCATTAGGAGAGCTACGCTCTGAACCCAACCAGTATGACTTCAGTTTCTGCATGAGAAATTTTAGGTTCTAAAAATAACCTGTTAAGTGGTAGGATGTGGGAAAGTTAGGTTTCAGAGTTGCAAAGATCAGAGCTATACAGGGACACCACCTCTTCCTCTAGTTAACAGATGCAGGTTTCTATTAATAAGAAACCTGCGTAAGTTGCATCACTGTGAGCTACAAACACCTTTCAGTCAAAGAGCTTAAAATAAAGCCTCATGGGAAATAAGAAGTTTAACTGTGGTGTAACTATAATGGAAAATAATCAGATGCCACTTGTATGCACACTGCACATTTTAAGTAAATCCGTTACATATTAGGTGATGGGACATAAGGACTTTCTAAATTGAAGAGATCAGAATTTTAATGTGATCAAGTCATTAAATCTAATCAATCCATGGGGGGGCACTATTTTAAACACCAACCGAATCTAGATTATAAGAAACAATCAAATAGCCTGGTTTCTTCAAATAAATTGCAAGAAAACAAATAATGGGGGCACCTGGGTGGCTCCCCATTGGGCGTCTGACTTCGGCTCAGGTCATAATCTCATGGCTCATGAGTTCAAGTCCCTTGTTGGGCTCTGTGCTGACAGCTCAGAGCCTGGAGCCTGCTTCGGATTCTGTCTCCCTCTCTCTCTCCCTGTCCCTCCCACACTCACACTCTCTCTCTCCTTCAAAAATAAACAAACACTGAAAAGCAAGAAAACAAATAATGGTGGGACAATCTATAGATTAAGACACTTAAGACACCTATCAATCAATGGCAAGAGATCAATCTCATTGAGTCTTGATTAATGATAAAACATAAAAAGATGAAAAATTGTTTTAAAAGTTTATAAAACAATGGGACATTCTGAATACTGACTGGCTATTGAATGGTATTGATGGTTTTAATGTTAAATTTGAAAGGGGTGACAACGGTTTTATGATTATATTTATAAAAAGAATCCTTAATTATTAGAGATGTATACCAAAATATTCATGAATGGAATGTGGTAAGGTCTGGGATTTATTCCAAAAGGATTCAAGGGGAAAATAAATAAATAAAATAAATAAATAAATAAATAAATAAATAAATAAATAAATAAATAATTCAGGGGAAACACAGAGAAAATAGGATTAGGCACGAGTTAAAAATTGCTGGGGCACCTGCATGGCTCAGTTGGTTAGGCGTCCAACTCTTGATTTCAGCTCAGGTCATGATCTCACAGGTGGGGTCAAGCCCCACACTGGGCTCTGTGCTGGCAGGTGCGCCCTCCCTGACTCACACTCTGTCTCTCTCAAAATAAAAAACTTAAAAAAAGAGAATTGTTGAAGGTGGGTGATGAATGAAAGGGAATTCATCATATTCTCTTTTCTTTTATACTGCCTGAAATTTTCCACTTAAAAAAATCTTAAAGGTGTTTAAAAAGAAAAAAGTGCCCATTATATTATAATATAAAATCAGGTTTAGAAACTACTGGTCAAGGAGAAGATACTTCAAACCATCAAAACTGTTAAGAATTATTTGGCTTTTGAAGTCTGCAGTGTCCAGAATATTTTATTAGATGTGTGCTTAAGGGGGTGGGTGGTAAGGTGTTCCTTGTTCAGGTGTTATCACTGAAGTAAAAGAAATACATACATACATAAATACCTCTTCACAAATCAACAAATACGGCTGCCCATTAAAATCACATGGGAAAATTAAAAACCTCCTTATGCCCAGGCTCCACCCCAGAACTATGAAATATCAGAAACCTGAAGAAGAAAATCCAAAGCTGGAAAGCCCTCCTGGTATAGAAACAGGATGATGGCTATTGCTCCTGCCTATTGCTCCTAGAAGACCCTACCGCTCCAGGTATGCAGCGGCATCACCTGGACAGCAGACTCTCAAGCCCAACCTCACACCTAGTGGATCAGAATCTGCACATCAACGAGCTCCCAGGTGATTTAGCTGCGCAAACTGGGAGCAGCACTGCCCTGGATGGCAGCTTATACACAGACCACTGTTTCTCAGTCTGCAGAGGGGAGCCACCTGTGTGGTGGGTTCAGCCCCAAGTCTCAGCTCCCTCCCCAGCTTAGGCCACAATATTTTTATTTTTTAGTTTATTTTTATTTATTTATTTTTGAGAGAGAGAGAGAGAGAGAGCACACACGTGCACGTGAGCAGGGTGGGTGGGGCAGAGAGAGAATCCCAAGCAGTGGCACTGGCAGCACAGAGCCCAATTCAGGGCACAAATCCACAAACCGACTCAGGGCTCAAATCCATAAACTGCAAGATCACGACCTGAACCAAAATCAAGAGTCCAATGTTCAACGGACTGAGCCACCCAGGCGCTCCTGGGCCACAGTGTTTTAAAAAATTTGCATGTCTTCCCCTACAAGTGAGGCTATTTTACAATGTTGCTTAGCCAGTTAATTTTCTCTTATAAATAGTCTTTCACCAAAGGGGGAAAAACGTCAGATCCAGTGGCTACAGAAAGGAGGGCGCACAGGGATGGACAGCTGTGCACCAGCGACGGGAGTTCAAGATGTTCTCTCCTGTCCCAGTGAACTACAAGGAAGTTCTAAGGAGTCTCTGCTGTGAGGCTCCCAATGTCCACAAACAGTTAATCTTCCCTCCTTGGAGAGCAGTCATTTTAGTCATTAGAACAAGTTTCAAGTAAACAGCCTTTCCCAATACAGGACGACTTTATTATTCAAGGAAATATTCAAAATAAATATTCAAGGAAAGTTGTCCAGTCCACTCGGGCACAGCCTTACTTAGGGTGAGGAAACCCTCAGAGTGACAACATCAGGGCAGCAATGTCTTCCTGAGGCAGCACTGGTTTATACGTTACCCTGCAGGGTAACGGGCCTTCTGATACCTTGACAGGAGGCAGGATGAGACAAAGGCCTTCAGAAAGGCTTTTCAGAAGGAAGACTGGTAAAGAGCCAGCTCTGACCTTGGGAGATGAAGCAGAAACTCAGTTTCCTATTCTTATCCAAACTGGTTGGAGTGCCCTCTCACTACTGAAGGAAGGACCTCCATTAATTTACTCATTCTATTTATTGAGTGCCTCTCAAAACCAGGCACTGTACTAGGGACTGAGGATATAGTGATGAACAAAAACAGTGTCCCTGAATCTCTCCAGAGCTGCCAGGTTGCAGAAGCAAACATTTCCAAACAGTGACACAGATAAAAATAAACTCACAATTGTAGGAAGTGTTGTGAAGAGAGGCATACAGTAAGTGCAATGAAAGCTCTCCCAGAGACCTGGCCTAGCCCTGGGAAGGCTCCCTATGAAAGTAACACCTGGGCTAATATCTGACACACAAGCTGGAAGGAACTACCCTCCTGCAGCTGAAAGACAAAGGAGCACCCCCAACAGGAGACCACTCAGGCAAGGTCTATGGCAGGGGGTCAGAGTGGCCAGGGGACTGGACAGAAGGCAGTCGGGCAGGAGTCAAACACGAAGCGCCTTGTAAATATAGGCAATGAACACTGGGGAGACCAGCAGGCTGCACCACCTTGGTCCGGGTGAGAAACAAAGCACAACTTGCCCCGTCTCTTCCCCTTGGGACAGAAAAGGGTAGAGGACGGTATGCGTGGCTGGGGCAGCCCAAGGTGGGGTGTGCTGGCACCAGGTGCTCTAAGCACTAAAATCTTGCTAAAGCTTCGTTTTCCCTGCTAACCACTCATTAAAGGCTTTCTCCCCACCTGCCTTCCCTACCAAGTATATTTTTGGTGTGCTGAGAACTACACAAATCCTAATGAATTTAATCAGTTCATGGCAGGATTTTTAAAAACATTTCTGAGAACGGGGATGCCTCCTATCAGTGTCAACATCACATTACACGCTACCACCTCCTGGGTGCAGAGATTTCTAAGTTCTTTCTGAGGGAGAGCTAGCCTTCCCTTTCCAAGCTTTGTGACTAGGAAAGAGTGGAGGAGGAGGGTGGGAATGGGGAGGTGACACTTGCTCTGCAGGTCCCTCCCCACTGTCACTCCAGGTTGTGCTGTGTCAGGAGAGCTAACTTGATAGATATTTGAGATTGATCAAAATCAAAACTGATGTGAAGAGGCCCATCAGAACCATAAATACAAAATGCTCTACAAAAATACAAATCTTATAAAACTATTAGCAGCGTGCTGGGGAATATGTCCCAAAATGATAAGATTCAAGTTTCTAAAAGAGGATTATGCAGAGTCATCCTTTAAAAATGTAGGTCAGATCACATCACGCCTCTGCTCAAACTCCTCCTCACCGCATGATAAATTCTGAAAGCCTCCTACCATAACCATCCAACCACCCCTCTGCGCCCTGACCTCACCCCTACTCCTCTGTCCCCTGATGACTGCTCCCCAGCCCCTGGGCTCCTTACTGTTCCTCACAGAAGCCAGACTAGATTCCACCTCAGGGTCTTTGACTTTGCACTGTCCCCTGTGCCTGACCAACCTCCGCACCAACACCCCCCAGCACTCCCTAGTCCGTTGCTGATTTAATTTTCTCCACAGTACTTACTACCTTTTAATACACTCTATTCACTTATTTGTTCTCTCATAGTTTGCCTCCTGCCAGAATGAAAGTTCCAGGAGGGCAGGAATTCTTAGTGCTGTATCTCCAGTAGCTAGGTCACTACCTGGCATGACAGTAGCCACTCAAAGATTTTTACTGAATAAAGTGCCCAAGAAAAGTAAAGCAAATACACAATATAAATTCAGAAATGCCTCTAATCATTTTACACTTGGACTACAGATAAAATGGAAAAAAAGACACACACAAAAAGACACAAATTCATTTCTGAATGTTTTAAGGGACACCTTAAGGTTTTCTTAAGCATGGTTTCAATGTGGGAAAATGTGGCAACCTCACATCCTGCTGATGGGAGTGTAAAATGGTACAGTCACCGTGGAAAACAGTCTGGCAGTTCCTCAAACAGTTAAACAGAGTTACTACATGAGCCAGCAATTCTACTTCTAGGTGTATATATAAATATATATACACAAAAGACCTGGAAACCTCTGTGCACATAAAACCTTGTATACAAATGTTCATAGCAGCATTATTCAAAATAGCCAAAAAGGGAACACAACCCAATGTCTATACACTGATGAGTAAATAAAATGTGGTACATCCATACCATGGAATCTTATTCAACAATAAAAATGAATGAAATTCTGATACATGCAACAACATGGACGAGCCTTGACAACATCACAGTAAGTGAAAGAAGCCAAGCATAAAGACCACTTTACAATATGATTCCATTTACATGAAATCTCCAGAATAAGCAAACTATAAAGACAGAAAGTGGACCAGAGGTTACCTAGGGCTAGGGGTGTTGAGGGCACATGAGGGGCAACTACTAAGGGGCATGAGGTTTCTTCTAGGGCTGACGAAAATGTTCTAAAATGGACTGTGGTGATGGTTTCACGCTCTGTGAACAGATCTCAAAATACTGTGTACTTCAAATATGTGAACTGTATGGCATGTGAATTCAATCTTAATAAAGCTGTTAAAAAAAAAAAAAAGGCAAAGCACTGAATGCTTACCTTTCACAGACTTTATAGCCTTCATTGACACTCACTGCTTTGTACTTGACACTGCCTTTGGTCCGCTCCAATTCCCAACACCAGTCCTTAAGTGTGTCAAACATCACCGTATGGTTCCTGGGATCAGTGGCTAACAAAACAAATTTGAAAAGACAATGAAATCTTGTCGTGAAGTACAAGTATTTTCATGATGTGAAAGTAGATCTCTAAGCCCCAATTTTGTCCACTAAGCCCATTTTTATCCAAGCACAGTAAATTCACTGCTTAATCCTAACCTGGTTCCTTTTTTTTTGTCATTAACCCAAAATTATGACCAAGGGCCTGTCTCCTCATACTAGACATGTTCCTGCTCCACTCCTTGCAAAAGTAATTTGTAGCTCCATTTTCAGTCATCTGACCATGAGATAATTTACATAACATAAAAGATCCTGTGAAGCACTAGAAGACAGGCTTGGCACAAATGCTAAAATAATAAAATATTTTTAGCCCTACCAACATGTGCATAAGATGGCAAACTCATTTGAATAGCATGTCAGATGCCTGAATGTAAATCTTCCCTCAGTTTGAAGATGACCGCCAGCAAGAGGATTTTCCAGTGTGACACCTGGTTACTAAAGGCCATCACCAGATCAGACAGCCACAGTGAGGGTTGGGGCTTATAAAGGACAGCGCCCTGGTGATGGAGAATTCTGCCCCTCACCCTGCCCTGCTACTCCCTGCTAGGAGGAAATGTCCAGGAGCGTTACTCTTGCAACCGGACAGATGTGTCCGTGGCCCTCTCCCAAGCCATAGACTGCAGGGTGGCACGCACCAAAACGGTCTCAGGTATTTATGCAAATCAGTTACTTCAAGCCCTTTGTTGCACATCAAAACACACACACACACACACACACACAAAACCCAAGACTTTTGGGAAAAACAGTGTTTGATAAAACTCCCCCATGCTTTTTTTTTTTTTTTTTTTTTTTTTTTTTTTTGAAAGAGACAAAGAGAATGTGAACAGGGGAGGGGCACAGAGAGAGGGAGACAGAATCCCAACAGGCTCCCCGAGGTCAGGGCGCAGAGGCCAACGCAGGGCTCTAACTCATGAACCGAACTGTGAGAACATGACCTGAGCCAAAATCCGGAGTCAGATGCTTAACCGGCTGAGCCACACAGGCTACCCTCCCCCATGCTCCTTTTAATCAAATCATATCATAGTACAAAAGATAATAGGAATAATGACAAAAACAGTGATTACACTTATATAGCCCTTAGTACGTGCCAGGTGCCGTTCTGAGCATATTACATCTTATTAACTCAATCTTCATAATCCTACAGCATATGCAGTATTAATCCTCCATTTTATAGATGTGGCACAGAAAGGTCAAGAAACTTGCCTAAGGTCACAGAGCTAAGCAATGACAGAACCAGAATTAAAACCCACGCAGCTATAAGGGATTTCCATAAAGTAATAAATGCAAAAAAAAAAAATTCCCCATGAACACAAATAATAATACTCCAATTCAAAAACAGATAATATTCTTAGCAACACCAGTAAGTCCTTCCCTAAAATGCCATGTCTTCAGTATTCAGGACCTTTCAGCCAAATCACATTCATGAATTATCAAGCCAGGAAATAACTAAAGATGTTCAGATTGCAAAGCACCCACCTCTACACACCCCTACTCAATGCAAAAGCTAATTGGTCAATTAGCATCTATCAGTTATAACATTTACTTCTCAAAAAATGGGGGTGGGAAGGAGGATAAGAAAAAGATGGAATTAAAATAGAATAAAAGATGCCACATATCCTCGGCCTTCTGGCACACAAAAAAAAGGCACCACACGGTGAAGAAACTGCCAGAGTCAATCAAACGAAGGGCTTTGGAACACAGATCAACCCAGTGTTGGCGAGCCAAGAAACTGTCCTATGTAGAGTCTGGACCAAGAATCAGGATATAAGGAAAAAGCAGAATTCCTAAAAACAGAGTATGATTTTTCAAATACAAACTCAATAAATGTTTATAAAAATTACAGTAACCAACAAATAAGTCATATTTTGTATATCTTATATTGCAACAAGCTATTATAAGCCAGTTACCCAGCACTTATATGTACAGCTCCACTGAAAAGATCTGTCATTCATAAAGATGAACTTATGAAATTAAGGAACTAATTTTATGTTCGGTCTAACAGTAGAGCTGAGCATTATCTTAAGTTAGTGTGTAATCAAGTCTCTAAACATAATCCACCCCAAATAATATGCAGTTACACTTTCAATTAACCCTCTTTAACTCACTGCACCTTAAATGCCACACATTTAACAATTTATAATCTTTACGACACTTCATCAGAGGCATGAATGCTGCTGTTTTGAAAATGAGAAAACAGATGCCCCAAGAGTTTAGTGTCATCCCCAGGATTACACAGCTACTGAGCAGCTGGGCAAGGATTTGAATTCAGGTGGGACAGACCCCAAAATTCACAGCTCTTCTACTAGGTCACCAGAGTTCCCAAAAGGCAACCTGCTCTTTCAGATATCTACATCTCTGCACATGCTAATCCCTCTGCCTAAAATACTCCTCCTCGCCCACCAGACACTCCCATACCTCCACTAACTGCTCAGGCACCCCCTGTGCCCTGTGTCCCTGGCAGGCCCTTCCACCAGAGGACACAGCTCTCCGCTGCCTCTGCTTGACTTGATGCTCAGAGGATGGGGATTTAGTTGTATTCACATCCATCCCCACAGTCCTGACCCACAGCAAGCGTTCAAAAAATGCCGACCAAATGAGCAGTTCAACTTTGTACTCCAGCATGCCACTTCTCTGACGAAAAGCATGTAACACCCAGAGTCACTTGACATCAATGTGACCTTACGGGTGACGGGCAGAGTGAGTGCACGGACCGAGGAGAGAGATGGAGGGAAGGTACAGACATCTGAGGAAACACTGAACAGTGCTGAGCATTATTGATAGCTAATTCAGATGACTGAAGTTTCTTAGTAAAGGACTGTTCCCTGAACTGAAGGGCAAACACTTGGGATTTTAAGTTCTGTAAGCACACTTGTTTTCTGATGTGCTCCGTTATATACAACTATTCCAATTCCCCCTAAATATCTGCTACAGAGCACGTTCTGGTTGTTTAAAATTTTTTTTCAATGTTTATTTATTTTTGGGACAGAGAGAGACAGAGCATGAACGGGGGAGGGGCAGAGAGAGAGGGAGACACAGAATCGGAAACAGGCTCCAGGCTCCGAGCCATCAGCCCAGAGCCCGACGCGGGGCTCGAACTCACGGACCGCGAGATCGTGACCTGGCTGAAGTCGGACGCTTAACCGACTGCGCCACCCAGGCGCCCCTGGTTGTTTAAAGGCTTTCTAGAATGCAAAACATTCTCTTGAGTGTTATGAAATGAGATCAAGTACATTAAAGTGAAAAAAAAAGAACCCAGGAATAAACAGGATTATTTTAAACTTATCTGAATTTTGCTTCTCTATAGTCTCACATTCCCAGTTATGTTGATTTTATCTTTCGTAAGAAATAGTCAAGCCAATAATCCCTCACAAAAAGCACATAAACCTAAAAGATAAGTTAAAGCAACAAAGATCGCAGGAAAAAAGAAAAAAGTTTTTTTCTTTTCTTTTCTTTTTTTTGATAAGAATCTTGAATGAATCACCCAAGCAAGAGGCAACCAGTTGCTGGGAGAGAGGAAAAAGCTCATGGATGGGTTTTCTCCTGCTAGTTTCTGTAGGAATTGAAAGGGTCTGCCTGCAAATTACAGCCCAGAAGACACTCACCTGCATGGTTTTGTGCAGCAGCAGCATAGGAAAACAGAAACAATCGCTTAAGCAGTTTGGGAGCCTGGGTGTGATGGATTATGCCACTGACAATCTAGAAAAGAACCAAACAATGGGTATAGTCATGCTTTTGGCAGATAAACACTGCGTCTAGGTTTTCAGTCATGCTAATAGGCTCCTCTGGGCAGCACACAAACACAAACTCTTGTTGAGGTCTCTATGATCTTATCTTTTGGAATAATGCCAAATAAATGGAATGTTAACAATTTTGTCAGGTTTTCTAAGAGCTTTGAATTTCTAGGGAAATTTTTAAAAACCATCTAATTTCTCAAAATCAAGGTGCTACAGAAGCTTAAGTGCCATATTCAGATATTCTAAAAATCTGACACATCAGAGACAGAGGGCTAATATCAGACAATAACCAAGACATTTAGCTATTCTGATCCACTTGTGGCCTTTACAACCTTCTTCTAGAAGATCAGAAAAAGAAATCAATCCATTGTGCTTTTTGTTTGAAGTTGCAAACTAAAGTATGTTTGGATAGATGACTAAAATCATCATTCAAAATGAAGTTTCTGGCTTCTCTGGGACTTTTCCCTGTCTGCACCACTCATTTCCTGCTCAGAATAGATACCAGAGTCATGCTTATTGTTCTAACTGAACTCTCACACTCCCTAAAAGAAAACCAAGGATTTACTTGTAAGTGTGCACAACTCAACTGTAACCAGAAACAACAGGTGAGCTGCGCCCCCCCCCCCCCCAACCAGGTCTCCCCTGACGTATTTACCATTACAGTGGCAAGTTTGAGACCTTTGATACCTCAGTAACACAAATCTTGGAAGTTACAGTGACCCCTGTAACCAGTTCATACAGTTATATATTTCAATTTGCTGAAGCAACCAGATTAAGTTTCCTTAATGTCCAAAATCACAGGCCTCATTTGGTAATTCAGCTTTGCCCGTCCGACCCTATACCACTTCCTCCCTCCCGCATACTTCTACTACCTCCCAGGTACGAACTCATCCATTCCAGGAGCTGGGGGTCCCTGCTACTACTTTTTGGAAAGACTGTCAGGTGTGGGGGAAGAAGGGTGCCTCCTGACCCTGGTTTCCCACCTCCCACTCTTCAGTTTCCAGGAATCAAAACATTACGAACTGAAGAATTAAAGGTAAATGGGTGCCAACATAATAGACATGTTTTCCCCAATTCTCTCTCAATTCTAATCAAAGCATATGGGATTATAACCAATTTCACTTTGCAGACAGGCATGTTCCCCCCTCCATCCTCATACAATATAAGCCAAAAATAAGAGTTAGTGGTAAAACCTGATGGGAAAGAAAACCTAAAAATACATGCAACTAGTTACCCTTTTGACTTCCTCTTCTTTTGTGTACCTCAGACAGAAGTGGAATACCCGGAGGTCTTTGCAGTGGATGATGAGTTTCTCGGGGTATTTCTTCAGTTGTCCAAAGAGAGTTTTTTTTTTCTCATCAAACACTACACACCAACGATGAAATCAGGAAGGGAAATCATGTTAGAAGGCAAAAAGTCAATGCTAAGGAAACAAGAAAGACTATTAGGACCTCTCAAAAGTAAGAGGAAAGGTGCTGTCTTCTAAGTAATTGTGAGCAAGGGCCCGGCTCTGAGAATGTGCAAGGCTCTTCGTTCCTCTGCACGAGACCAAAACGAACTGGCCACTATCGGCAAAACTGACTCCAAAAGCTAACATTACAAAAAATGAAAGGGAGTCACTAGGGACATGCTTTCAGGACAGTCAACTCCTGGGTTTATGGCCAGGGGCCCCTCCCTGTCCCGGAGTTCGGACCAGGCTGCACCTACTGGTGTTGGGATCTAAACAGCTACTGAATGATTTCTGAAAAAGCCCTGACTGAAAAAATAGAGAAGTGAAGCACAGAGAAGCTTGACCCTTAGCAGAAAAGACATGGAGTACAAGTCTTTCTCAGATTAGACTTTACAGTAAAACCTACACAGCTAACATGGACAGCCACAAGTGTGATCTAGCATATAGTGGCCCTGTCTGGGCACCTGGGTGGCTCAGCCGGTTAAGCATCCAACTCCTGATTTCGGCTCAGGTAGTGATCTCACGATCGTGAGATGGAGCCCCATGTCAGGCTCCGCCCTGGGGGTGGAACCTGCTTAGGATTCTCTCTCCCTCTCTCTCTGCCCCTCCTGGCTCATGCATGCATGTTCTCTCTCACTCTCAAAATAAACAAACACTTAATGGCACTGTGGAGTCTCAGAATAGGTTCCAAGTTCAAGTCCAAGTTCCCCCAGCTAAGTGACCCCAAACAAGCCACTATACATCTCAATTTTATCATCCATAGAACTGATTTAAACAAAATAAATATGTAAAGAAATCTTAGTAAACTGTAAAGGACCATAAAAATATTGTCATTATCAGCTATACTTTCAAAGGCTGGCAACACCCCAGGGGAAAAGATACTTACCTCCATAAATCTGATCAACACAGTGGAGTGTTATGTCATTTTCTCCTATAACCTTATTCTTAAATTGGGTTTCCTAAAAGATTCAAAAGGAAACAACTGTGACTCTTTTCTGTGCCCTATTAAACATTTAAAGGCAGAGCAAATCACCGATTTCCAACTACACATTAAAAAAACCAGAGAGGGGATGGAAGAATGGGTGAGGGTGGTCCAAAGGTACTAACTTCCAGTTATGAGATAAATCGTGGGATGTAATGCACAGTATGGTGATTATAGTTAATAATACTGTATTACATATTTGAAAGTTGCTAAGAGAGTAATTTTAAAAGTTCTCATCACAAGGAAAACAAATTGGTAACTATAGGAAATGACAGATGTTAACTAAACCTACTTTGGTGATCATTGTGCAATATATACATATATTGATATACATCTATCAAATCATTCTGTTATACTCCTTAAACTAATGCAATGTTATTATTTATATCTCAATAAAACTGAGGAAAAATAGAGTGTACACTCTAAAAAACAAACAGGGAGATGGAGGCACATTCCCCGAGTAAGAGATGATGAAGTGTGCAAGGAAAGCTGGTAAGCACCTTGTTTTCAAAGCCAGGCACAACATGCCATTCCTGGGCTGCTCCCAGGCTAACCGGCCGTGCCACACACAATCACTCTGGGAGGTTAGAGTCCTCACAAATGCAAACAGGTGAGTGACAGAGCTACGGGAAGCCAGGTTTAGGAAGCAAACGCTGGGAGATTCAAGTATCTGTGAATGCTGTCTTTATTTGCACAGGACAAGGAGCCAAGCCACTAGAGCAGACAGCAGCACAGAAGCCCACACTCCAAGACAGCCAGGGTGGGCTGGGACAGCTGGGTTTGCATCAACGTACAGCGCTCTCCGAGTGGCGTGGGCAGGCCTCTCCTTCACTCCACTGCCCATTCTCCAGGTCTTACAAGGGCACTGCTACTCAGGGCAAAGGAAACCCGAATTCAAGTGCTGCAAGCATCAGTTTCATAATCGAACTCAGTTCTTGAATTTGAGGGACAGCTTAGTACAGAGAAAACACGGGGAACTAGTATTAGGGGAGATTAGTGATTCCAATGAGTGATACATACTGTGCTGAAATACAGAAGAAAGTAAGAAAAAGTTGATGGTGTCAACCTATGAAGTCAGATGCAAGCCAGTGTGACCTGGGGCACTTAGAATGGCCCTACAACTGAAAAGAGGTTCCAAAGGACAGACGGCATTCTGGTGTTGAGGACCTCTGTCGTTGGTGTTTCATGTGTGTTGTGAGGGTGGTGAGCGTGGTGGGGAATTGAGGAGCTGGGAAAAAAGACAATGGGGCCACAATTTTATTGCTCCCCACAAACTGAGCCAAACGCAGTTCATACATACATCATTATCCAATGCAGAGTCATCATCGCCCAAGAAAGCAATCTTGAAGTCCGTGCAGACAAGTTTCCCATAGATCCCACGCTGACAGGAATCTTCCTGGACATACTTCAGCACCGTGCTGGCTTCACAAAGCAGCTGTTCACCTGATCGAAACCAAACAAGCCCTCCTCAGAGTCCTCAGGGAACATACAGTATGCAAACAGTAAAAGCCTCCCCAGCTCCATTCCCGGGAAAGACAAACACAGACTACACTACAGCCCTTCAGAACTCTACGCTTTCCAGCACAGCAGGAGCGGCAAACCTTAGGTGTGGAGATGAAGCAGAGCAGGGACCACTCATAAGTGAACGCAAAATGGCTGATACACCTTCACACAGGGCATTTCTCTACCTTTTCACTGTGAACCAGGAAAGTGTCCAATAGGTGGAAATGATCTCAGCTACACTTGCAAGTGCAGACCTCAGTGTTCCTATTACTTGGGCCCAAGCAGGTAGGTGTGGTATAGAAATGAATGAAAATGAATGAATGAAAATGACCCTAAATGAATGAAATCAGAAAGGCTCTGGAACATACAGCTCAAGCCCACTTTGTGGTGAGAGTGGGCCATCTCTCACTCTGCAATCACTGAAAGATGGCGGGTGCCTCCCTGGCCAAAGGGCTCGCAGGTGGCTTCCTCAGACACAGAGGTGCAGCTTGATCACATTCATTCTGGCTCCACAGAGAAGGATGGGAGGAAAAGGGAGGTCAGAGGTTTGTGGGAAAAAATTGTTTCCTCTCTTTCTTAGTTGAGAGTATTTCCTCTCAGTGTGTCGCCTTTCCTGCTCTATCTGCAAGCACCCCGCCTGCATGAGAAGCTGTATTTCCTGCAGATAGAGAGTTCTTCTCTTTACAGTCAGAAAGATAAGGATTTAGGGATAGGCAAGCATTCTCTGCTCCATGGAAGAGAAGCTCATGAGGGCTGGACATGTGGGTGAGAGCAGGAAAAGGAGAAGGATATGGAAGAAATAAAAAATCAAGTGCAAATATTTTAGAACAAAAAAGAAAAGGCATTTTCTTCCCCTTCAACAGACAACCATTTCAGACCCTCAGAATCTCCCTCTGGATATTCTCCTCAATGACTTTAAATTTACTTTTTGGCTCAAAATTCACTTGGTCTAACTTGCAACATGAAAATAAAGAAGGCTTTCAGACACTCAGACAATCAAGGGACACATATTATGGTATATTTTTCCACCTCCCAAGGGGTTAATTCCTAAGGAAATACAAAAAGATGGCTCAGTCACTAGGTCGGCCTCTACTGAGACCACAGAGCTTGAAGAAAACAATGAAGCTGGGGCCTCGTTATGGTTTAAAACAGTCCCAGAAAAAGCGCCTCAGCTGGTTCAAGGTGGAAAATATATGAGCAAAGCTTCCTGTGCTTTTTTCAACTCCTAGTGTGAAACAGCTTTTAAGTGTGAGTGTGTCCCTGAGACCAGGCAGGCTGTGTCAGTCAGTGGCCGCGCACTGGAGACGAGACATGGGCACACAGCAGCTAACACAACACCCAGCGATGTGCTAGTCTGTCAGCAAGGCACATGCTGTGCCACAGCCACCAGCTTGCGTGTGCAGATAAAGTCTCGAATCGTGGGAGGTGGGAGCTGGAAAAGCTCATGGTCTGGTCTAAGAAATGGAGGCTGCGCATCTAGAAGAGACTTGAGGTACTCCAGGGGATGGGCGAATGCACGTAGCATTGAGCTAAAAATGAAAGTTAATATCAGAATCTATAACCCAAGAAAAGGAAGGAAAATGTGGTATATGGATTAAGGTTTAGGCCATTATTGTAAAAAAAATAAACAAAAAAACATACAAACCTTTGAAACTTAGACATTTTTTTTTTAAGTTTCAGGACCCCAATATATTTACCAAATAAGGTGGATCAGTCAGAAACTTGTGTGTAATCATATCCTCCCAATAAACTGGAATAAGGTAAACAGTACCAGAATGAGGCCTCTACTGTCTGGGGGGAAATATATCTAAAAACAAAAACTCACAAAAAAAAGGCTACTGGGATTAGAAAAAAGAAAATGGAAGAACTTAATGCACAGTTCCCAGGACAGCCCCACATATGGAAGGGGACAGACCACCAAGTAGTTTCCGTTTCTGAATTCAGAAATGATTAAAGCTTGACTGAAGGTATAGAGTCACTCTCTTCCATCTCAAAAATATCCAACCAATCCAGACTCCTCAGTGATGACCTCAGAGCAAAGCCCTGGCAGTCCCAAGGTTAGTAAACCACAGCCTGCCTGGCACTTATGCTCAGATGCAGAAGACCACAGGTGAGGCCACCCACCAACGCTGCCGGGGGAGCCTGGGCAGCCGTGCTAGTCTAGGGCAGCTGCACGGAGAAGAGGGATGTAGGGCTCTGGAGAGGACCAGAATTTTCCTGACTGAAGACCAGAATCCTGGATGTGTCCAAGTACAGTGACGCAAAAAAGGCTTCATTTGCTTGTGAAGGAGGTGAATTTGCCAGGTTGATTTTCATCAACTTGCGGGGAGGGGGAAACAAAAATTCTAGGCAGATGTTATAATACTCAGACCTAATACGTAGTGATTGAACTAAAGACCTTGATATTTTTGTCCAACTCATTCCCGTTATATGCCTTCTGGATGAAAACAAAGGAGTTTATATATAGCAATACTAGGGATGACATAATTTATCACTGGCTTTGAGTGGCACATGAGGTCTGATGCTAAACGACCGTTACCTGGCAACAAGTGAAGAGTGACTTCCTTCTCTGTTACTTCCTTCTCGTTTGTGTGAATTTCCTAAAAGAGAAGAGCAAAGGGTAATATTTTTCTTTGTTTAAGGGCTCAAAATGAGTAACATAAAGCCATGTTTTCAGAATACACACTAAAATGTCACATACCCTCAGGAGTTTTTTGACAAGCTAGTTACTTTTTAAAAATGTATTTTTAACAAAAAGACAGAAAATTCCAGCAAATTAGTCCAGTGCACTAACCTATTTAGGATTGACAACTATTAGTTGCCCCCAGTGGAGGGGCAGGGATGAGCACTCCCTACCTAAAGGAACAACTGTTACACAGAAAGTAAGGCAGCTCAAACACAGAGTCAGAGAGGGAATGGAAGACATTTCACAACATGGCTCCTCTCTTCCTCCAGTGAGAATCAAGGATCGAAAACAAAAGATGACTGTGTGTTCTTGAGACATAATAGATATATGTAAAGGGTTTCAAGAACAGGAAAATATGAATGTATCAAGTCAGTACTCGACCCATCTACTCTGTAGCATACCAAGACCCAGTAAAGGCAGATGGGAACATTCTAAATTACCTAAAACCACGGCACCTGGGTGGCTCAGTTGGTTAAGCATCTGACTCTTGATTTTAGTTGTCATGATCCCGCAGTTTTGTGAGTTTGATCCCCATTGTCAGGCTCTGCACTGACCCTGCAGAGCCTGCTTGGGTCTCTCTCTCTCTCTCTCTCTCTCTCTCTCTCTCTCTCTCTCTCTTTTCCTCTCCCTACCCGCCCCCCCACCCGCCCCCGTCTACACACACACACACCCCTCCCCTGCTCATGCTCTCTCTCAAAATGAATAAACTTAAAAAATAGATTGATAATAACCTATAATTATTTTTTTAACTTTTTCATTTTTTTAATGTTTATCTTTATTTTCGAGACAGAGCATGAGTGGGGGAGAGGCAGAGAGAGAGCAAGACACAGAATCAGAAGCAGGCTCCAGGCTCTGAACTGTCAGCACAGAGCCAGATGCGGAACTCAAACCTACGAAAGGTGAGATCATGACCCGAGCCGAAGTCGGACGCTCAACCGACTGAGCCACCCAGGTGCCCCTTTAAACTCTTCTTAAACATTTATTTTTGAGACAGCACAAGCTGGGGATGGGCAGAGAGAGAGGGAGACACAGAATCTGAAGCAGACTCCAGGCTCTGAGCTGTCAGCACAGAACCCGACACGGGGCTTCAACTCACAGACCACGAGATCATGACCTAAGCAGAAGTCGGATGCTCAACCGACTGAGCCACCCAGGCGCTCCAATTATTTATTTATTAATAAATAATAAAATAAATAAACAAACAACCTAAAACCACAAGGCACTGCCATGGGATATAATCACTTCTGATAAGGAATCAAAGCCAGGTTTTATGTCACTGTTTCTCAATGAAAATATCTCCAAATGCCTTCATGTTGGGTTCACTGTTTATTGGGTATTCAAACATAATTAGCAATCCTTAATGAATTAATGGAACAAAGCAACAGTCATAAGTGGCTGTTAACATAACAACAAGAGAGGCCTGGTGAGTCTCCTAAAGCAATCTACCACACCATCTATTAAGTATTCTTGCCAAAATATCTAACTTCAATCAGCTTGACTTTCTATGTCAATCTACCAATTTATAAGAAACACCAGGACATGTTTATAAGAAACATGTTAAATGACACCATGGGGATGCAACAAGTCAAATCTTAACTGTGGAAAATTCTATAAGACACAACCAACTTTGTCAACAAAGAAAACTGGAATTTGTTTTGTTTTTTGGCATAAGGCTCTGGGTGGTAGGAGTTTTCTAAAATTGTTAATTCAGGTTGAAATAAGCATTACAAGAAACTTGGGAACAGCCGAGGCAGGAAGAAGCAAGACAGCCTATCTCAAGGCTGAAGAAGAAAGTCAGAGCTGTTTCAGAGAAAGAGCTGTTTCAGAAAATACACCACTCTGAGTGTGATGTATTTTAGAGATGCCCACAGTTTACATCCCAGAAGATGCTAATAAATCAAGTCCTTCTGAGGCAGTGCTTCTTAGATGTGGGGAGTGTTCCATCACCTGTGGATCTTGTTACCTCTTTAGGTGCTCAGGCCTCACCACGAGTGTAAAAAATCAGAGTGCAGGGGATGCAACTGGGCCTTTGGTTGTGCAAAAAACTCCCCAGATGATTCTGATGAATTGCTCTATGTTGTGCAAGAGGGACTATATTGCATATGTAAATGCTACGAGTGTTTTGGTAATTTAGAAATTCTCATGGAGTTTTCATCGTCTGTTATTGGCACAGAACTAAATGAAAGCACTATTATTTTTGACAGGTCTATCATCTTTCTCTGAGGACAGAGCAAAACGATTCATTAAATTCAATCACCTGTTAGAAAACTAGTGATCATCTTGACTAGTGCCTGGAATTCAGTTCAAACACTGCAGCCAGCTTGGAGAGGGCTACCCTATTGTTTTGTCTCCAAAAGTAGCATCTTCCGATGATAAAGAATTTACACTACTTAAAACTACCTACATCAATTCCTGAAATGGTCGAATTCTTTCTTTACATTCCATAAACAAAAAAATCAGGAGACACCTTTTAGGATTCTGTCCTGCCGAAAACTCACTTTCCCTAAATAACTGTTCTCTGCTCCCCCAACTTCCTGGGGTGAACCCACCTCCTCCCCATCAAATGCCTGGGGAAATGGAAGTGCTAATCATTTTATGTCAACTGCACACATTGACTATAACGATAATAACCAACATTTATTAAGCTTCTATTATATGCCAGGTAAGTGCTCTTCATTAGTATCTCATTAATCCTCATACAGAGGTATGAGCACTAGTATTATCATTAATCCTCATACAGAGGTATGAGCACTAGTATTATCTCCATTTAAAGATGAAACTGTGGCTTAAAGAGGTTCAGGAAATCTCCTTTTATAGGAAGTCACTAAGCAAGGATACAGCCCAACCCCCAACAAGCTCCAGAGCCTACATTCTTCACTGCTGAGTACTGCTTCTAACATGGTCTCCAGTTTCCTCCTACAAAAGGGAGAACAGCTGTAATATCCACTGCCTACAGTAGGAAACTAGTCTCCTATTACAAAACTGATTAGGACAAATTAGAAAAACTCCCTTAAGAGAACTGCACTTCACCGTACAGGACATACAGGACAAAAGCATCTGAAAGCTAAAGTCAGCTAACACTCCTGAGAATCTGCTGAGAGGCTGAAAAGCAGCCTGCTTGTTTTCATTCCATTAATTCTCAAAGAGTAAATTCTCTAGTTTCTTACCAAGTTCATATTTAAGGTGCCCATCTTCTCAAATGTGGGATCGACCCAGGGCACCTCAGGAAAGGCAGAAAATGGGTCCTGCCAGAAGATCGCTGATCTTGAAAAGAACAGGGGTGTGTGGAGGGCGATCCCACAACCAAGCTCTCATCAGGCCGGAATGCTTATATATACCAAAATGCTTCACATCAACCCTTCACTGTTTGCGAGGGCCTGGAGTCAAAAACTGAAGTTGTTATTCTCAGCTTAATTTCATCCAGCCAGAAGGGCAAATTCCAAGAGCCAACATCCCTAAAGGTTCCAAAACACAATTTCTCTCAATCGCATTTGGCACCAAAATGCTAAAAAGACAAAACACAGACATTTTATTTCCTCAAAGTCGCTCCATGCTCTAAAATGGACATTTAATACACTTGTTTTCTCCGCTAAAATAGAAAATCTGAAGGGGAAAATGTATTTGCACCCACATATTAGGTGGGAATGAAATTTACCTTTTTTTACAGCAGAAAGCTGTATTATTAATACAGCATTTGTACGAATAATTTTTGTTTTCCCCCTTGTTTCTCCAAACTTCTCTCGGTGCCTGCACTACAATAAGGATACAGATGTGGCCACAGTTCAAACCCTGCTCTGCTACCTATAGACGTGACTTTGGGCATAACATTTAACCTGAGTTTTGGTTTGTTCCAATGTAAATGGAAACAATACTACCTAATATGAGGCCTGAAGAAAAATGTGTACCAACACCTGGCACACATGTTCAGTAAATGAGAGCTGTAATTGTTGGACATAGCAGTATCTGTGCTTCTTGATTTCCTTTTCTTTCATTCTCTCGTCCTTTCCTTTAAGGAATAAACAAAGAATTCAAATATCCTACATGAGAGGGGCAATTATTCAAGATTCTGTCACAGGTAAGAATAATTTCTACTTCTCTCTCAGTCCTTTTTCCTACATTAAACTACACTGAATCTACTCAGGAGGCCTCTCAATTCTTTTTTTTATGGATCAGAAACTCCTGCAATTAGCAACACCCAAGTTGGTCCTAATTCTGTAAGACAGAGGATACAGGAATATGTGAAGCAAAGGAAAAAGAAATGACATTTTTCTATTAATAGGATTTGTTTTCTAAAAGCCCACAATGACGGGGGCACCTGGATGGCTCGGCTGATTAAGTGTCTGACTTAGGCTCAGGTCATGATCTCTCGGTTTATGGGTTCGAGCCCCACTGGGCTCTGCTGACAGTGTAGAATCTGCTTGGGATTCTCTCTCTCTCTCTCTCTCCCTCTCTGCCTGTCCTCGACTCACACTTTCTCTCTCAAAAATAAATAAATAAAATAAAAAATAAAAGCCCATAATGACTTAGGTCTGGTCATTTTGTGTCTTATCTTCTGCAATATGAAGTACTTTGAACCCATTACAAGACCAAGAGAGAAAACTAACGGCTTTCTTAAAAGAATACCACATCCAAGGAATGGACTGCTCAGGCATACTGTACAAAAAGTAAAACCTTCTCGACTGCTGATTCTATTGAAAGTAGACTAAACTGCTGAACTTGAGAATAAAAACCTATAGAAACACTTGAGCAGTGGAATTTAAGGAGGCACACTGTAGACAAACATCACTAATATCTAATCCTTCTTTGGTTCATACTTCAAAATAATTATAAATATACACTATCCAATTCTTACAAATAATTCAGAAAAAAATAAGTACCACAATCACTACCATCAAATACCCATTCCCAAATCAA